CTGAAGCAGAGGTGACAGCACAGTTTTTTCCCTGGGAACCTGCAAGGGGAGGTGTGCAGGGTCTGGGTGGCTCCCTGTCCAGACAGCGCAGGGTCACTGCGGGCCGGCGCTCAGCGGCTCCACCCGCAGCCACAGGCCGCCCTCTGCGCGCAGGATGAGCTCGGGCTTCCTGCGCGGCTCTGCCTGGTCGCACAGGACGCGGAAGCGCAGCAGCGTGAGCGCCAGGACCACCTTCATCTCGGCCATGGCGAACGTCTGCCCGATGCAGTTCCTGGGGGCCAGAGGGAGAGGGGCTCAGATGGTGTGTCGGGGCCCTGGTCCAACACCCCCATCCACGCCTGCGGAGATGGGGAAGGGGCTACTATGCCTGCAGGCTGGCAGACCCCTGGCTCCAGCAAACTCGGAGCAGCAGGCAGGCGGAAGGGGCTCTGAGCACATGGGGTCCCTTCTTGCACCCACCCAACCCCCATCACCTCGGGGGCGGGAAGGGAAGGAGAGGCCGGCTCTGACCTTCTTCATCCCCCTTCGGGCCCTCACTGTCCTCTGGGCCCTCAGCCCCATATCCCTGCCCCATCACCCCTCCCCGCAGCCTCCTCTGATGCCGCTGCCCTCACCTGGGCCCCGCCGAGAAGGGAATGAAAGCCAGAGGTGACCTGTCCTTGCTGCTCTCTGGGTCGAAGCGGAAAGGGTTATAGACCTGAGGGCAAGACCAAGACGGGGCTGCTGGGTGGGGTCACCCGACAGCCCGCCCTGGAGAGGCAGCGGGTGTATGATGGGGGCGGGTGGGGGGCAGTGATGTCTGATTTGCCAGGTCAGAGCCCTGCTCTACCCCCATCCCCCATCCCCAAAAGGGAGTGGACAAGGATGAGGGAAGGGGGAGGCCGCACCTCAGGGTCTGGCCACACGGCTGGGTTGTGGTGGGTCCCAAAAATACTGATGAGGCAGGTGACGCCTGTGGTAGGGGAGGGGGGGGCGCGTCAGGAGGAGGCCCGGCCTGCTGCCCCCCCCCCGCTCCCCCCT